CATGTCAATTCTTTTCATCACCAAGGCCAAAGGTACTACTGGGAATTTCCAATGCAGTGCTATAACCCACAAGGCAGACACACAAATAGCATGGATCAATCTCAGTAAACACTTGGAAACACCCGGGATAGACGAACCAAACATATCCGAACAAGTAAACATATCCGCAATGATAGATCAACAGGGGTGGGAAAGACAAGGGCAATCCCAAAACATATGAATGAGAGTACCAGCGAGGCCGCAACCCCTGAGACAGAGGGGCGAGGCCCTTATAAACATAACATGCAATCTCAGTGGGGTGTAGTACCAATGGGTGAGAACCTTGGCTGTCTCACGAACAGATAGAGACTGAGAACCCCTACAAATATTATCCACCATGGTATCCCAATCTTCAACCAAAAAAGTTGTATTACAGTCAATTTCCCACTTGATTTTATAGGGGGAGGCGATGCATAACACACAGCAAGCGAAAGGCGATACAAGTCTGAAATAAGCCCTCTACGCCTGAGTGAGTCACAGCAGGTACGCTCAATAAAGGTAAGCGGGGAGGAAGGCACCAGGCTATAATGTGTGTGAAAAAATGACGTATTTGCATATATCAATAATGTTAATGGAGTGGGATATCAAAAAGGGTCTGCAACTGTTCAAAAGAGATAAATCTACCACCCCTCTGAAAATCCACTAGCCGAATGAGAGCCCGATCATACCACCAGCAAAAAGCGAGCGGAAAAGAGAAGTCTGCAACAAATTTCGGTTCTCCAAAAAGAAGGATCCAGGCGGGGCAGGGGAGGGCTAAATATCTTTTCTCATCAGCAGTTAGAGCAGTCTTGTGACTTCTATCAGTGTTCAACAGAGCACTGGTTAAAGCTTGTAGGAGGAGTTTTCTTTCTGCTCTAGGAGGATGCAAAATATCTGACCTCTGTCTGGACAGGGCTGATTGGCCCCGTGCTGATCACATACACTCTCCCAAGACAAAAAAAAAAAAAACTCTTTAGCAGTACACACCAAACTGAGCATGTGCAGAGTGTCTCCAGAGGATATGTCTTATCAGGAGATAGCAGGGGGACACTGGAAGAAGGGGAGGATGAGAGAAGTCAGGATCAAACAGCATGTTTACACAATGCAGAGGATTATCCCCTTTGGTTCCACAGTGAGTATAACAAGCATGCTTTACTGCATATACAGACTGATTTTACTGTTGTGGGTTTAGTAACTCTTTACAACTGTGATGACCGCAAAGCATTGCAGCCATGGCATGTGTACAGTCCTTAACCTCCCTGGGGGTATTCCCGAGTGTAGCTCGGGGTAAAGTTTCAGTACCACAAGCGGTAACCCCGAGCTACACTCAGGCTTACCATGCGGCGTTGCTCCGGGATCCCGCAATCACTTACCTTGTCCTGCGCTCCCGCTATGTCCCTCCTGCAGTGTCCCCGGCAATGTAATCCGGCCGATGCCGGCATCTGTCTTCTGGGTTCCGTCCCCTGCGAGCATCGTGACGTACAGGACGTACAGGGGACGGAGCGGCGGGAAATTTGAAAATGGCAAAAAGTGACATTCACTAAATTCACTAAAAATCACATAGTAAAACATTACTGTATCAAACCATTTCACATACATTTTGTCCCGAGTGCTTTGTCCTGTGCCCTGCCTGCATTTTACTGTTCTTTCTGCCTGGAAACTGAGAAACGTCCATGGCGTCCCTTTAGGTCAAAAGTGGTTTTAGACCAGCTAGAGAACAGCGATTAGTAAATCAGAACCACTTGCAGAATTGAGTGATAATGATTAGTGGGGAAATTTGTCATCAGACACTGAAAACGATTTTGCGACTTTGCTCAGTGATGTGTGGACTTGGCGCTATATTTCAAATTTCAGTGTTTTTGGTTTGATTATATTATTGAATTAAATTTATTATTATTATATTATTATTTTTTTGATTATTTATTAAATTATAATTTATGATTTCGTGTTTCAAGTTTTATCCTACCCGGGATGTTTACTAGACTCTTGTTCGGACAGATTTCAGTGAGTTATGAATAAAAATTACAGGCCTACAATAAAAAAAATACATATTTCCATGCAAAAAAATGTACCGCTTTGAGCACAGAAATATGGACATAATCAGACCGCTAGGGAGGTTAAAACAAATCCTTCTAGCAGCACAGCATGTCGTTTCCTATGTCAGGAGTGCATGGCTAATAGTGACACCATCAACAACCAGCAGAAGAGAAAGCTAACACTCAACCAATCAACCTCAGGATTTTAATGAGGTCATTTTGTAAGAGCAATGTACAAATATGTAGCGTAAACCATAACATACCGACATTTCAAGGCCATAGCAAACCCCTTGATGACAGACAGCAAAAAGTAAAATAAACCATATACAGTACATATATACGCTTTTTATTATCGCCTGTGCAAACACAACTTCCAGAGTCACATGCCTCAAAACATGACAAGCCAGCTTGTAGATAACCTTGGTGCTGCCAAATAAAGTCTAGCATAAAAAAAATACCATTACAGCATTGTATGGACGACGTGAATTCCAGAAACTTGAAAGCATCTTGTGCTCCACAACTGAAGGCCATCAGGTTCTGTTAGAATCTCGGTGGGCTGCCAGCTGAGCTTCCTGTTTTTACTGCCCCCCTGGCTGCCAGTATGAATGAGTCTTTAATGCACGGAACTGAATCCAGGTCCAGTTCACACAAAATTAAGAACCCAGAACTGAGTTTTAGTCCTCATGCACACTTGACGTTTTTACAGCTGCTGTTTTTGGCTTTTGATGTTTTTTTCTCCATCCCCCAGCATGTTATCCTATGTGTCCGTGCACACATAGACTGTAGTTTTTTGGCTTGGACGTTTTTTAGCTGGAAAAAACACCCAGAACTAGTGGGTTTCTAGAGGAGTTTTTTAGCTCTAAAAACGCTCTAATGCTGAAAAACGTGGCAACACACGGTAAAACATGGTACAATGCCACAAACTGGAATTTTTGGACATTGTTTTGACCAAAAAAAATTTTTTTTTTGGTAAAAAAAAAACCTGCTAAAAAACGCAAATGCGGAAAAACACCACTAAACACAGCAAAATGCTAATGCAAAAATGGTAAAAAAAAAGCTGAAAAACTCCCGTTTTTAACGTGACTTTACACAGCTAACATTACCAGCGTTATCAAAATGTCCAGTGTGCATGAAGACTTATGCCAGCCATAGACAGGTCAAAAATCAGCCGATTTTCGCACCGTCAGTGGGTTAATTGGTCGGTTAAAAACCGTTTTTCGGGGTTTTTGCACATTTTTTTTATCGGGCATGTTGGAAAATTCGTGGCCGATTTTCCCAGCAGTGATGGGAAAAATCGGCTGATCGTTTTACCGATAAAAAATCTGCACATGAGCCGTCACCTGCAAGAAGAAAAAGAAGAAGAAGAGATCCAGTCCGCTATTATATTTTATATGAAAAAGTTTTGCTGTTGCAACAAATGTATCGATTTGTATCCGAATAAAAACATCTGTATCCGAAATGGATACAAATGGATACATTTGTTGCAACAGCAAGACTTTTTTTTATATAAAATATAATAGCGGACTGGAATTCTCCTCCTCCTCTTCCTCCTCCTCTTCCTTCTTCCTCTTCCTTCTTCTTCCTTCTTCCTCTTCTTCCCTCTTCCTCCTTCTTCTTTTTCCCCTTCTTCCCTCTTCCTCCTTTTTCCCCTTCTTCCTCTTCTTCCCTCTTCCTCCTTCTTTTTCTTCCCCTTCTTCCACTTCTTCCCTCTTCCTCCTTCTTCTTCTTCCCCTTCTTCCACTTCTTCCCTCTTCCTCTTCTTCTTCCCTCTTCTTCTTCCTCTTCTTCTTCCCTCTTCCTCATCTTCTTCCTCTAACTCTTCCTCTTCTTCTTCTCTCCCATGTGTGCTCCCCTGTCTCTGCAAGGGACAGAAGTAATCATGGGGTTAGTTGCCGGCCATAGACAGAACGAAAATTGGCCGATTGTTTTACTGTTGGTAGTAACGTCGGCCGAGAACGACCGATTTTGCGTTTTTTTTTTAAATGGCCGATTTTTGACCCATCTATGGCCTGCATTAGGCAGGCCATAGATGGGTCAAAAATGAAAGTTCTGACAATCAAAAAACAAAAATTGCTCATACGATTGTGCCATCACTTATATTATTATTATTTTACAGGATTTATATAGTGCCAACCGTTTGCTCGGCGCTTTACAAAATGAGGGCAAACAGTACAGTTACAATACAAATCAATACAACAGGAATCAGAGGGCCTTGCTCGTTAGAGCTTACAATCTAAAATTGTTTCGATTTTCTAAAAAAAAAAACCAGCATGTTGGATCAGGCACTTTCAATCGTGGCTAAAAATCGCATGTCACAGCTAATGATGCGAAGAACAAACAGTTTGATGATCAACGCAAATTTAGTTCCTTCTTCAACTTGTCCATGGCCTGCCTTATTCAAAGCCCAACTCCAATGAAAACTGTATATTATATTTAGAATGGAATGGATAACAATCTATATCAAGTTTATATTGCTGTCTGTGTTTTCACAGTGTCTATTGCTGTCTGTGTCTTTAAAGTGTCTACTTCATGGGATGGGAGGAAGCGATGGGAAATCTTCCCAGTGGGGACACACACAAAAACAGAAAGTCATTTTTTATAGAGTGGGGAAGAATTACATGTTCAATGTATGTATTACTGTATGCACCTTCTAGCCCCAGTGACAACCATTCCTTCATTAATGTCCTGCTATCACAAGGGCAGGTAGGGATGGAAAATCACCCCAATAGGGAAAAAAAACCCATTTATTGACATGATGCTTGGGTATTGCAAGAAACAATGGCTTTCTTAGATGAGCTGTTATTAAACATCTTGGCATCGGGTTTAAAACGAAAGTACAGATATACACTATATTGCCAAATGTATTGGGCAAGCCCTCCAAATCATTGGATTCAGATGTTCCAATCACCTCCATGACCACAGGTGTATAAAATCAAGAACCTAGGCATGCAGACTGCTTCTACAAACATTTGTGAAAGAATGGGTCGCTCTCAGGAGCTCAGTGAATTCAAGTGTGGTACCATGATAGGTTGCCACCTCTGTAATAAGTCCATCCGTGAAATTTCCTTGCTACTAAATATTCCACGGTCAACTGTTAGTGGTATTATAACAAAGTGGAAGCAACTGGGAACAACAGCAACTCAGCCATGAAGTGGTAGGCCATGTAAAATGACAGAGCGGGGTCAGCACATGGTGAAGCACACAGTGCGCAGAACTCTCCAACTGTCTACAGAGTCAATAGCTAAAGACCTCCAAATTTGGTGTGGCCTTCAGATTACCACCACAGTGCATAGAGAGCTTCATGGAATGGGTTTCCATGGCCGAGCAGCTGCATCCAAGCCTTACATCACCAAGTGCAATGCAAAGCCTCGGATGCAGTGGAGGGGGGATTATGGCGTGGGGTTGTTTTTCATAGATTGGTCTTAGCCCCTTAATTCCAGTGAAGGCAACTCCTTAAGGCGTCAGCATACCAAGACATTTTGGACAACTTCATGCTCCCAACTTTGTGGGAACAGTTTGGGGATGGCCCCTTCCTGTTCCATCATGTCTGTGTACCAGCGCACAAAGTAAGGTACATAAAGACCTGGATGAAAGTTTGAAGGGAGTGAAGAGACCCCCTAGTGGGAAGAGGGATAACTCCATCCATCCGACTCCAAGAAAAAGGTTCCTAGGAAGCAGCGAGATCCCCTGCTGGGAAAAGGAAAAAACTCCATTCATCCATCCATCAGGGATACAGGGATTTATCCATCTGTTCACGTCATATATGTCAGGAGAGAGCACAACTGGTGAAGGAGCACAATATATATGAATTGGTGGACTATATCTATTTTGTATTACACCATTAGAAAAACACCTAAATATCACAGATTTTTCAAAGATATGCATGCAGTACCAGTGTGATTGCAATATCATGCCATGAAAATATATTGGACTCATTCACTTGTTATAATTTGTTTTAATTTAATTAATTTATTTAATATCATTTTATATACATATATATATATTCCGATAATATTATTGATAGTGGAGCGTGACACCACTGGTTTTGATTTGTTTTGACACACTGGTATGAGTATGTGTATAGTGTAGGCGACCCACTCATTTATTTAATTATTTATTTAATATTCTGTACACCAGCTTAATTGATTTATAATTTATTGCATCTATACGAAACGCACGCTGATATTTCAATTACATGTTGGTTTCTTTATACATACATTCACTTAAAGTACTCACCATAGTAGCTCACAAGAATCATGTTTATTATATCATGTGGAGACACTGCACATGCTCAGTTTGGTGTGTATTGCTAGAGAGTTTTTTTTTCTTGGGAGAGTGCATGTGATCAGCACAGGGCCAATCAGCACTTCCCAGATAGAAGTCAGTGGTTCTACATCCTCTTAGAGAAAACTCCTCCTACAAGCTTTAACCAGTGCTTGGCTGGACACTGATAGAAGTCACAAGACTGCTCTAACTGCTGATGGGAAAAGGTATTTAGCAGTTTATATTTGCTAAAATAATGGCATTTTCATGTTCTGTGTACTGTGGGAGACCAGATATAGTGGATGCAGGGTCCTGGGTTTAGAAACACTTTAAGCTTACCAAAGATGGATCAAAATTCGTCTGATTCAGCAAAGACTGGATGAATTTTGATCCACCTGCGGCTGCTCTTGCTTACACTACATTGAAACTGCGTTAAATCTGGCAGTGGGTGTGAGCCAACTAAGTTAGTATTTGTGTACCGTGCTACTATAAGGAGTGTAAAGCTTGCCATACATGGATCAAAATTCGATTGGTTTAGTCAGCTGGCTGGATGAAAAAACTGAACCTTGTATGAGCAGCCTAACACCTGTGCGATTACAAAGAAATCTGGATTACCATATGATAAATAACTGGAAACGATGGCAGAAGGTACACCTATTCATGGAGTCACTGCCTTGGAACTAGAATGGAACAATTCACTCTGGCACCTTCTCTCAAAGCCAAAGGTGTTGAGCTTCATGACACTTTAAATAAATCCAAATGTGTAATTATTTCTGACTGTTGAGTTGTGTTGTGAAACAAAATAATCAGCCATTATCTTGCAGGGTCATAAAGACAGGGTCAGTTGTAAATGAAATAATTAGCATTTATAGATCCCAAGGTTTTCTCACTTACCCTTCTCTCTGCGTTCGCTCATAATGAGGGAAAGTGTTCCAACAGTACAACATGTCTTGAACATTCAGTGTCTCAATGTCTCAAACATTCTTTACCATTTTTTACTAGATTTTAAGTAAACCTTCCTTAAAGATGAATGCAATGAATTCTACAAATGTTTGATGTTCAGAAAACAGTTCAGAAAATGAATACTCTAAAAAACAATTTAGTCCAATTCATTCAAATCAATTTGTTGTTTTGCTGTGGTAAAAAAAATCCTTTAAAGCCTACATTTCATCAAAAATAAAAAAGAGAAATCAGCACAAGGGGCATTACTTTTTATCAATCTGATGTGTCCCCTGTGCTGATGGCTCCTGCAATAGTTGCAATTTTCCAATGTGGTGGGGTTAAAAGAGCTGATGGACTTGTGACAGGCACCCATCGAAAGTACTGACTATGCTAAGGTGACTAGATTTTAAAAAAGAAATCCAGGATAAACCTACCGACCACACCCACTGGTAATGAGGAACAGAGGCGGAGTAGATGGAAGAGTTCATTCTGGCACATGTAGAATGCTGCACTGAACTGGGAATGTCGCCAAATAGTGCTTAATAGTGGGAGCCCTTATAGGGGTATTATTAAATAAAACATCAGCCTACTGTCTGGGTAAAAAGTGAGTAACAAACAGCATGCAGGGGTCAGGAGTTAGTAGCATACAGAGTGCAGAGGTCAGGAGTAAGTAACATGCAGAGTGTAGGGATTAAGGGTAAGTAACACACAGAATGCATTGATGAGGAGTAAGTAACACACAGAGTGCAGGGATCAAGAGTAAGTAACACACAGAGTGCAGGGGTCAAGAGTAAGTAACACACAGAGTGCAGGGGTCAAGAGTAAGTAATGCATAGAGTGCAGGGGTCAAGAGTAAGTAACACACAGAGTGCAGGGATCAAGAGTAAGTAACACACAGAGTGCAGGGGTCAAGAGTAAGTAACGCATAGAGTGCAGGGGTCAAGAGTAAGTAACACACAGAGTGCAGGGGTCAAGAGTAAGTAACACACAGAGTGCAGGGGTCAAGAGTAAGTAACACACAGAGTGCAGGGGTCAAGAGTAAGTAACACACAGAGTGCAGGGGTCAAGAGTAAGTAACACACAGAGTGCAGGGGTCAAAAGTAAGTAACGCACAGAGTGCAGGGGTCAAGAGTAAGTAACACACAGAGTGCAGGGGTCAAGAGTAAATAACACACAGAGTGCAGGGGTCAAGAGTAAGTAACACACAGAGTGCAGGGGTCAAGAGTAAGTAACACACAGAGTGCAGGGGTCAAGAGTAAGTAATGCATAGAGTGCAGGGGTCAAGAGTAAGTAACACACAGAGTGCAGGGATCAAGAGTAAGTAACACACAGAGTGCAGGGGTCAAGAGTAAGTAATGCATAGAGTGCAGGGGTCAAGAGTAAGTAACACACAGAGTGCAGGGGTCAAGAGTAAGTAACACACAGAGTGCAGGGGTCAAGAGTAAGTAACACACAGTGTGCAGGGGTCAAGAGTAAGTAACACACTGAGTGCAGGGGTCAAAAGTAAGTAACGCACAGAGTGCAGGGGTCAAGAGTAAGTAACACACAGAGTGCAGGGGTCAAGAGTAAATAACACACAGAGTGCAGGGATCAAGAGTAAATAACACACAGAGTGCAGGGGTCAAGAATAAGTAATGCATAGAGTGCAGGGGTCAAGTGAGCATTGCACCGAGTGCAGGAGTCAGGAGTGGGTGAAGCACAGAGTGCAAGGGTCAGGATTAGGTAATATACAGTGTACTTCCCAAGCAACCCCCCTCCTCACTCTTTCCAGTACAACCCCTCCCGCCCCCATTAAAAAAACACCTCCAGCACAAATTCTGCTCTCCCACCCTAAATTGTACTCACTGTACCTTGCATTTGTGCTGCATCTGCTGATAAGTTTGCCCGGTCTCGATTCCACAACTGCCCAATTTTTTTCTCTGTATGTCATGTATGCTTTAATTGTTAGAATACATTAACAATAAATAGGGAATCATGACAATACAAGAGCAATTGTGACAATACACAGTCATACAGGGGACATTGGGAGTCATAATAATGTGGTGCGGCCCCCTAGGGGGGGGACACCATAGACAGGACAAGTATGAGGAGGTAGGCGGACAGGACAGGTATGAGAAGATAGGTGGATGGGTCAGGTATGAGGAGATAGATGTATAGGTCAGATATAAGGAGGTAGGTGGATAGGATAGCTATGAAGTGGTAGGTGGATAGGATAGCTATTAGAAGGTAGGTGGATAGATCAGATATGCGGAGGTAGGTGGATAGGACAGGTAGTAGTAGTTAAGTGGACGGGTCAGGTACTAGTGTAAGTACACATTCAGTCACCTTCCCTCCCTTAGGTGTAATGATACTTATGTAGCCCCCCTTCCCCTCCTTGTTCCCATTAGTAACCATACATACAACCACTTTCTTAGGGGAGTAAGTGAAGAAGCAGTTAATTAGGACTGATTAGGGTAAGTTAAGTGTTAATGTAGGGTTGAACAGGAACAAATTTATTTTATTTAAATTAAAAAAAAAATTAAAACATTTAACTTGTTAGGTTGTTGACATCAGCAAATAAAAAAAATCACATTGTTACTATGTTACTCTGTATCTCTGAAGACACACACCTGAACAGTAAGCCACTTCTGGTTCACATTAAGCCTTGAATGATTGGGACATTTTTTTCTACATGAACTTTAAGTCTTATTAAGGACTTGAAACAATACCAACAATCAAAAAATATATTTATTTATAGAAAACAGCAAACCTATTGAATTGATAGTATTCTTTGTTTTGTATGCTCCATTTTTACAGGTAAAGGGATATTTTCAAATTAATTTAGCACTCACAATCAGAATAAAATCAAAACATCTTCCATTAAACAAATTCTGTTAATTATAAAATAAAAGTTCCACAACCCCCTGTCAATTACACATTGTATATGGGTAAGGCAGGCTCAGGATCTCCATAAAAAGGGAGAGTCATTGGAATAGGACAAATGGTCTAAAAGTCATTGGTTGGATGTCCAGGGGCCCAGTTTACTTTTACATTGTGCAAAGAAGGAGCATGTCTGCATAATATAAAATATACTGTCATTTCCTTTCAATAAATAATAATTTTCTTTACCCAAATCCTTATCAAGATGTCATCATTATATAAACATTAACTTCTTCAGATTATATGGAGAGTTTTTTCCACTTGAGCACTTAGATTTCTTAGCACTCCCTGGTGGTTTTGGTGAAGTATTGTATATTGTATGTATAGACACTTTTATTATGCCTTTTATTACATGATTTCAGGGTTACATAGAAAAAAAGGCAAGCAATAAATTTGATAAACATCTTCTACAGAAAAAAGACCAAAGGCAAACATTTCTTGTTTGTTCTTACTTTTTTCTACTCTTGAGTTACCTAATTTCAGGAGGCTTCTCGGATGCTCCCCTGCTCAGATTATTGTATATTTTTTTCTGGCTCTTTGCTCTGCTTTCCCTACCCTCCTCTTTCCTTTTCTCAGCCTCCTTGTCATACCTCAAGCTATACCTTGCTCACCATACTTGTTCTTGCCTATGTTGAGTTTTCTGAATAAAAATGTTTGGGAAAAAAATGGCCAAAGGCTAGGGCTAATTAGAGCTTTTACAGCAAAGTCTTGCAATTGGAGTCTTGAGCCATTGATCCCAGAAAGCATTAGTGATTAACCTCTCCTATATAGACCTGCATTTTTGACTGGCCAAAGATGTCAACATCTGGTGGGGAGCTTCAAGACACCATATCACTGTACTGGAGTAGAGTATAGTCCTGTTTTAAGGCAGGGTGGCTACATAATTGTTGGTTAATTTAGCTTGTTATGTCTTTTTTCAATTGTTGTGAAATACCTATTGATCCTGCCTGTTCCCCATTTCCTATTTCAATCTGACCACCTCAAGCACAGAAGCAGATCTGCACTGGTGTGGTCACTTTGTGTATCTTAGATTGCTGCTTGGAGTTTCAGGACACTGTGCCGCTGCAGGGCATCCTTTTATCCCCTGTGGTTAACCTTGTTGCTACACCCCCACCCAGCCCCCTGATGAAGCCATGTGACCGGTGGCGTAACACGTAGTGGAGGGCCTTTGACGTCACAAATCTCGATGGTTCCATACTGACACCAGCTGGCAATTTTAGGATTTTCACCACTGAAAAAAAATTTGGAGGACACAGTTTGTGCACAAAGCAGTTTATATACAGAGTATATGTGAATGCATTACTTTTATTAATAAAACGGTTTTAAAAGAATGATACACTATGATTTGATTAATTCCTCTATATCAACCAATGTGGAAGGGGAGCCCATCGATTGAGTGGAGGAGGACCCCAAACAGCAAGATACCATCCCATCCATACTTTGACCCATTTAAAGGGACACAAGCGTTATATGACCTTACTTAACATTTTGGTCATATACTTGAGGTGAGAACACAAGCGGAGGGGAAAGCACACAAATGCAAGTTTTATTCACACAAAAAATCAATTAAGAGGCACAGGATATTTTATCCTACAGTGAACCTTGCACGTTTGAAGACGTTTATATATGGACCTATATTTTTTTTTACTGTTTTTGACAATTATATGGACACTGTTTTTTGAAAATTGATATTGGTTGATTCACTTATTTTATCTCAATTTTTTTAATATAAATAGTAGCAATTGGATGCATATATTATTTATTTTGAGCATTTATAAGTGAAGCGCAGCACATTTTGGTAAATAGTAATGGTTTGGTACACTATTATAAGTATGTGTTAGGTGTAGGCGACTCACAATCAGCACTCAATAGTAATCATCACTCACATAGCAGCTCACAAGCTTTCACTGTTCAAATCTTTTTGTTTCCCTAGACCAGTAGTCTCTAAACTGTGGCCTGCGGGCCAGATGAGGCCTTTAGTGTGCTATTATCTGGTCCTTGAGGCACTGTTCCTCGACTAATATGAACAACTATTTCTCTCTCTCATGCAAGGCACTTTTTCTCCTACCGACACCAATGTTAAGGCACCATTCCTTTCACTGACACCAAAGATGGAGCACCATTCCTTCCACTGACATGGACAGAGCTATGTAATTTTTTTACTCCCACTGGCCACCAAGCCTGACACATTGTCCTGGGGCATTTTCTTCTCCCACTGGCCACAGTCTGGCCCTCCTAAAGTCTGAAGGACAGTAAACCGGCCCTTTGGCTAGAAAGTTAGAAAACCCCTTCCCTAGACCAAAACAAGCAATTAACCCTTGCATTACATGCACAGCCCCACTGCAAGGGATATTTTTTTATTTCCTTGGAGTCACCATTGATCCCTGTCCTCTATTTCTGCGACCTTTAGATTATAAAACAGCCTTTCAAAGGGTGTTGTGTTGACTATCTGTCTACAGGGTGGCTCCTTTGCATTGCAGGGTCTTCTCAGAGCCTCCCTGTTGTGCACATACATGTGCTGCTGAGTGCTGTTCCCAGGGGGAAGAATTCTTGAGCAGTAGGGGCAGCGCTTTGGCGCTGTTTGTCTGATGCATGCGCAATATGGGCTTCTAGCTCTCGATTGAGCATGCGTCGACCAAACACTTTAGAGAGGTATTGGCCTGCACTGCACATGTGGCAGGCAGAGTGCATGGAGCCTTAGGAGATGTGGTCCTGGAAATTAAGGCTCTATTCACACCTAGACATGTGCAATTTGTTTCGTTACGAATAAAAATTCAGACAAAATCTTCGTTATTTGGACTGAATTTTCAAATCACAATAGTAATGAATTTCAATGAATCCGGAATAAATTATAACAAAACAAATTATCCGAATCTGAGTTAAAAAAAAGAATTTGAATTCGAAATGTTAACATATTGCATAAATACTACATATATATATATATATACGCACACACACACACTATATTGCCATATGTATTGGGACACCTCTCCAAATCATTGGATTCAGGTGTTCCAATCACTTCTATGGCCACAGGTGTATAAAATCAAGCACCTAGGCATGCAGACTGCGTCTACAAACATTTGTGAAAGAATGGGTCGCTCTCAGGAGCTCAGTGAATTCAAGCGTTGTACTGTGATAGGTTGCCACCTGTGCAATAAGTCCATCCGTGACATTTCCTTGCTACTAAATATTCCATGGTCAACTGCCACATAAAATGACAGAGCAGGGTCAGCGTATGCTGAAGCACACAGTGCACAGAAGTCACCAACTGTCTGCAGAGTCAATAGCTAAAAACCTCCAAACTTCATGTGGCCTTCAGATTAGCACAACAACAGTGTGTAGAGAGCTTCATGGAATGGGTTTCCATGGCTGAGCAGCTGCATCCAAGCCTTACATCACCAAGTGCAATGCAAAGCATCAGATGCAGTGGTGTAAAGCATGCCACCACTGGACTCTAGAGCAGTGGAGACGTGTTCTCTGGAGTGACCAATCACACTTCTCTGTCTTGCAATCCTATGGACGTGTCTGGTTTGGCGGTTGCCAGGAGAATGGTACTTTCCTGACTGCATTGTTCCAAGTGTAAAGTTTGGTGGAGGTGGGATTATGGTGTGGGGTTGTTTTTCAGGGGTTGGGCTTGGCCCCTTAGTTCCAGTGAAGGGAATTCTTAAGCTGTCAGCATACCAAGACATTTTGGACAATTTCATGCTCCCAACTTTGTAGGAACAGTTTGGGGATGACCCCTTCTTGTTTCAACATGACTGTGAACCACACCTGACCTCAACCTGAGAGAACACCTTTGGGATGAAGTAGAGTGGAGACTGTGAGCCAGGTCTTCTCGTCTGACATCAGTGTCTGACCTCACAAATGCACTTCTGGAAGAATGGTCCAAACATTCCCATAGACACACTCCTAAACCTTGTGGACAGCCTTCCCAGAAGAGTTGAAGCTGTTATAGCTGCAAAGGGTGGGCCAGCTCAATATTGAACCCTACAGACTGAGACTGGGATGCCGTTAAAGTTCGAGTATGTGTAAAGGCAGGCGTCCCAATACTTTTTGGCAATATAGTATATGTATATATAGTATAAAATTTAAAAAGGATGATGATTCCTCTACCTAAGCTAAATACTTAGGCTAATAAAACAGAGTGGAATAAAAAAGAACAAAAATAATAGCGTGGAATAGAACATAAAAGAACTGAATAGAATAAAAAAAAAAAACAGAAAATAGAACAAATATTCAAATAACGCATTTTGAAAGATAGCTATATTCGTTCTATTCTATTCTTTTATTCTGTTCTATTCTTTTCTATTTCATTTTACTCTGTTCTATTCTTTTATTTTTATTCTTTTTTTCTCTGTTATTCCATTTTTTTCTATTCTGTTCTTTTATATTCTATTCTTTTCTTATATTCTATTCTCTCTTACTCTGTTCTACTGTATTTTTTTTTTATTCTATTCTGTTTTATTCTATTTCATTATTTTCTATTCTACATTATTCTATTCTGTTTTATTCTCTTCTGCTCTTTTATATTCTATTCTATAAAGCAGCCAAAGAAGGAATCATCATCTTATTTTACTTTTATACCTTACTGTATTTATTGCAATATGCTTTCATTTCAAATTCAAATTAATTTTCAGATTTGAATAATTTTGCATTGATCTGAAAATAACGAACACATGAAATGAATTCCAAAAACAAATCATTCTAACATAGCGAATATGACAAAAAGAAATGATTAACTTAATGAATGAATCTGAAGTGAAACACATTTTTTTGTCAGGCACATCTCTATTTACACTGTAAATATTGGAACTGCAGATTTTTGTGTGCTTTGTGTGATGTGCATAGGGCACCCTAGAAGTTGAATGGGCTGCCCTATGCACAGCGTATTCGCTAAAGCAGCTCCTGCACCTTGTTGGGCAGAGAGCTGCATGAAGTGTTTTTTCTGTGCATTTTGCCGCACACAAAAACCTGCAAGTTCTGCTGGCTGTGGCATGACTCGTGTTTTTCACTCGCTCCTGCAACCCCTGTGGAAATGCCTGTGTTCCTGGAATGCAGAGATGTGAATGCAGCCTTAGGCCCTATTCACACCTTGGCCTTCTTAGAATGTTTACAGACACTGGCTTATCACTGTGCCTTTCCAGGAACGCAGGAAAACACACCAAAGTGCGCGTCACTCTTACGGTGTCATTTATTCTTAATGGCACCCCATACGCGGGTAGCAGCTGCATGTTTTGTTGGATAAAAAACACACACGGCTAACTTAAAAAAAAAAAGATGCACGTTTATCGTGTGTAGCGTGCCCCCCATTCAAATGAATGCATACCCTAGGCTGCTGCTCAACAAATAGTTCAAAAACAGTGACGCAACGCGCCACGCAGGTGTGAATGGAGCCTTAGAGCTCTGATGTACTCAGGGGGCTCCTGATTGGAAGTTCCGGGAAACACAGAGCAGAGGGACATAGGAAGGGGAATCTTAACTATGGGAGCACGAGAAGGGAAAGAAGATTGTCTGCTATTGGACCGTACAGAGCAGTACAGGACTTCTGTACACACTTATCAATCAGTAGGGGGCGCCCTGGCTCAGTGTAAGAGGAGCCTCTCCCGTAGTATTACATATCAGTGTACAGCACATCAGACCCAGAAAGTACTATCAACCACGGCCACGCCCAGCGGCTCCGCCCTCTACTACTTCCTTGTCACCTCGGCCACTCCTAGCGGCTATTCCCTCTATTACTTCCTAGCAGCCCCGGCCACTCCCAGCGGCTCCGCCCTCTACTACATCGTTACAGCCCCGGCCACTCTGATTCCGCCCTCTACTACTTCTTAGCAGCCCCGGCCACTTCCAGAGGCTCCGCCCTCTTATGCTTCCTAGCAGCCCTGGCCACTCCCAGGAGCTCCGCCCTTTACTACTTCCCAGCAGCCCCGGCCACTCCCAACGACTTCACCCTCTACTACTTTTTAGCAGCTTCAGCACACCCTGCGGCTCCGCCCTCTATTAATTCCATGCAGCCCCGGACACGCCCACTGACTCCGCCCACCACTACTTCCTAGCAGCCCCGCGCTCTGTAAGCAAAGCTCTTGGAATGTACCAAGTATAGCGACTAAAGGAGAGCATTTCTTACATACAAAGTAATTTCCAGCTACACGGACGATTTTATTCATTATTAAACACTCAAACTTTAATATAAATTCTCAGAGATGAGCAGATACTCTGCATATCCGCCCTGGGTTATCGTCCCTATAGCGCCCATTTTCTGGGACACAGCCGACCACCCCTATGGGAGTTTTGGTTGGTGTCATTGTAATATTCCATCTTGCGGAGCTAGCTGTTGGTCGGCTGGCCGGCTGTCTCCTCCTTACTATGTAAAGTGCCCCCCCAAGCGGCCGCCCGGACGAACTATGCCCATTGACAGCCGTGGCTCAGCAGCGCCTGTGTGCAGCCAGCCGGGGAGGGAGGCAGCTTGCTGAGAGGGACGGAGCGGCTCTTCTTCCTGATCCCCGGAGTCCTGTCATCATCCGATCTGAGGCTAGGATGCTGTGCTCTCCCCGCCCGGCATTTCCTCTTTCTGCCCCCTGATGAGGAGGTTATGTGAGCGGACCGGCCGGGCTGTCACAGCGGATCACGTCTGCGGAAGAGAGCCGACTACAGAGTAACAAGTGGAGGAAAGTTCGGGGAGAGGATCGCCCATCAGACAGCCGGTGAGTGCTGAGTACCGGGGGGCACCGAGAACTTTCCTACTGTCTACTGTACTCTGGCCCCTCCGTACACTGCGCGGATCTACACCCACTGGGGGCCCCTTCAGGCACCGATCAGCTCTTGGTGTACTGGGGGCCCCTACAGACACTAAGGACTCTTTATGTACCTAGAGGCCTTTCTGATTGGCACACTGATTGGCTCTTGGTGTGCTTGGGGGCCCCTCCGTGTACTGATTGGCTCTTGGTGTTCTTGGGGGCACCTCCGTGTACTGATGGGCCCCTTCATGCTCTAAGGACTCTTTATGTACCTGGGAGCCCCTTCCTGCACCGATGGGCTCTTGGAGCACTGGGGGCTCCTCCATGCACTGATGGGCTCGTTTGGGTACTGGGGGCCCCTTCATGCACTGAAGAGCTCCAGGGCTGTCTTAATGAATGGGTATCTCTGAGCATGATTATTTTGCTTTACATCATACTTGCCAACTGTCCCGGATTTGCTGGGACAGTCACGCTTTTTAACAAGCTGTCCCAGGATGGTATGGGCGGTACACAGAACCTGTACTGTGCCCCGCTGATCCCAGTATTGTGCCCTCCCGAGTCCCCCTGTACTGTGCCCCCCTGATCCCAGTATTGGGCCCTCCTAAGTCCCCCTGTACTTTGCCCTTCTGTCACACCCATGCCCATACTGTACCCTTTTGTGTTGATTAGTCTGTGATTCATAGCATGTTTTCTTATTGTTTAAAATCAATTTGATAGAATTAAACATATTTGAGTACTTTCAATCAACTAGTTATACTTTAATTCTTGAGATTAGGTGTGTAAATTGGGGTAGGCTGGTAGGGGCCGCAGTGCTTACAAAGTTACTTTGCCCAGGGTCCCACGATGCTATTAAGTGGGCCCTGATGAGCTCCTCTTGTTCTGGTGGCTCCTCCATGTGCTGATGAGCTCCTCTTGTTCTGGTGGCTCCTCCATGTGCTGATGAGCTCCTCTTGTTCTGGTGGCTCCTCCATGTGCTGATGAGCTCCTCTTGTTCTGGTGGCTCTTCCATGTGCTGATGAGCTCCTCTTGTTCTGGTGGCTCTTCCATGTGCTGATGAGCTCCTCTTGTTCTGGTGGCTCTTCCATGTGCTGATGAGCTCCTCTTGTTCTGGTGGCTCCTCCATGTGCTGATGAGCTCCTCTTGTTCTGGTGGCTCCTCCATGTGCTGATGAGCTCCTCTTGTTCTGGTGGCTCCTCCATGTGCTGATGAGCTCCTCTTGTTCTGGTGGCTCCTCCATGTGCTGATGAGCTCCTCTTGTTCTGGTGGCTCCTCCATGTGCTGATGAGCTCCTCTTGTTCTGGTGGCTCCTCCATGTGCTGATGAGCTCCTCTTGTTCTAGTGGCTCTTCCATGTGCTGATGAGCTCTTTATGTACTGGTGGAGCCTCCATGCACTGGTGGACGCCTCTTGTTCTGGTGGTCCCTGCATGCTCCGATGAGTACTTTGTGTGCTGGTGGCCCCTTCATATACTGGTAGGTGTCTCCAGTGAGTTAGATTTCTCTGGGATGGAGGTGCTCATACACAGGATGATCTGATCACCTATCAGCCTTCTTTATACTACTTGGAGTGATCTACCCATACATCGAAGAGTGATCTGTTCTAGAAGTAAATTATTTCCCCCCCATTTATGATGATTAGCTTTTCTTTAAGATTGTCTGCTTGTTGGTAGATGTCTCCATGCACAATCGTAGCCTGAG